ATCCCTCTTCTATCCGCCTCCCACTCTCTCCCTATTTATTTCAAAACCCCCTTCCCCTCCCCCTTTTCTGATGAAGGGTCTAGGCCCGAAACGTCAGCCTCTCTGCTCCTATGATGCTGCTTGGCCTGCTGTGTTCATCCAGCCCTGCACCTTGATATCATTGGGCTGTAGGGTTCCCAAGCGAAATATGAAGTGCTGTTCCTGCAACCTTCAAGTGGCATCATTGTGGCACTGCAGGAAGCCCAGGATGTACATGTTGTCTAAGGAATGGGAGGGGGAGTTGAAATGGTTCACGACAGGAGGTGCAGTTGTTTAGTGCGAACCGAGCGTAGGTGTTCTGCAAAGCAGTCCCCAAGCCTCCGCTTGGTTTCCCTGATGTAGAGGAGACGACAACATGAACAGCGGATACAGTATACCACACTAGCAAATGTGCAAATGAACATCTGCTTGATGTGGAAGGTCTTCTTGGGGCCTGGGATGGAGGTGTAGGGGCAGGTGTAGCACTTCCTGCGGTTGCAGGGAAAAGTCCCAGGTGTGGTGGTGGGGCTGGAGGGGAGTGTGGAGCGGAACAAGGGAGTCACGGAGAGAGTGGTCCCTGCAGAAAGCAGGTAAGGGTGGGGTGGGAAAAACATCTTTGGTGGTGGGTTGGATTGCAGATGGCGGAAGTGTTGGAGGATGATGCATTGGATCCGGAGGTTGGTAGGATGGTACGTGAGGACGAGGGGGATTCTGTTTTGGTTGTTATTGCGGGGAGGGGTGTGAGGAATGAGTTGCGGTAAATGCAGGAGACACGGTCGAGGGTGTTCTTGACCACTTGGCAGGGGCGGGTGTGTGGAAGTTGCGGTCCTTGAAAAAAAAAGGACATCTGTGATGTTCAGGAGTGGAATGCCTGATCCTGGGAGCCAATGCGGCAGAGGCAAAGGAATTGGGAACAGCGGATGGCATTTTTGCAGAAAGGTGGGAGGAGGAGGTGTATTCTAGGTAGCTGTGGGAGTCGGTGGGCTTGAATTATTCGCAGGATCCACAACCTGAACTCTCAAAATTCCAGAGACAGTAGGAACTGCAGCTGCTGGTGAATCCGAGCTAACAAGGTGTAGAGCCAGATGAACACAGCAGCAAGCAGCATCAGAAAAGCTGACCTGTTGGGCCTAGACCCAGCCCGAAACATCTGACGCTGCTTGGCCTGCTGTGTTCATCCAGCTCTACACCTGGTTATCTCACAATTCCACTCTGCTTTATTGGACACCAAAAACAGTAAGTACAGTAAACTTACTGGTGCCTGCCACCCAACACAGGCCCCCCAACCCTACCCAGGACTTCCCCCACAACGTGCCCACTGTTGGAGCACCCATGGATGACACCACTTCCGGTACAGCGGACGCTACCACCTCCGTTTCCAAGGCCAACACCGCTGCTGCCGCCATAACCAATGCTGCTCCGCCCATTGCCAAAGCCAACATCACTGCCCACTGTCTATGCTGACCCACCCACTGCCAGCAGCTCCAGAGGAGACTGTGGCACCCAGCCCTGCCAAGTCTTCACCATCCCCCCCAGACCTTCCCCCTTATTGAGGATGAATGGTCAATCCTCAGTAAAAGGGCTCACCTTCGTCCCCCTCCACCCTAACATCAACAAATACAACTCACGTTTGGACGCTGAAGTTTCTCCGCCACATCCGCGCTTAATTCTTTAACCGCAAGCCTAACCCTCCCTCTACTGACCCCTTCTCCCACCTCCAACATACCCTCTCCTCCTGGACACCTCCCCAAGGCCTCTGACCCTCCCTTGACCTTTTCATCTCCAACTGCCGTCGAGACATCAATTGCCTCAACCTCTCCACCCCCTCACCCACACCAACTTCTCCCCCATAGAACATGCAGCCCTCCACTCCAATCCCAACCTCACCATAAAACCAGCGGACAAGGGAGGCACAGTTGCAGTACGGCGCACTGACTTCTACATCGCTGAGGCCAGGTGCCAACTCTAACACCTCCTCTGACCACCCCCTTGACCACCAAATCATCATCTCCCAAACCATCCACAACCTCATTACCTCAGGTGACCTCCCACCCACAGCCTCCAACCTCATTGTTCCCCCAACGCCACACCATCCACTTCTATCTCCTTCCCAAAATCCACAAACCCGAGTGCCCTGGTTGACCCATTGTCTCCGCCTATTCCTGCCCCACCGAACTTATCGCAACTCCATTTTCCCCCCCTTGGTCCAGCAACTCCCCACCTACGTCCATGACACCACCCATGCCCTCCACCACCTCCAAAACTTCCAATTCCCCAGTCCCCAACACCTCATTTTACCATGAACATCCAGTCCCTATATACCTGCATTCCCCATGCAGATGGCCTAATGGCCCTTTACTTCCTGTCCCACAGGCCTGATCAATCCCCCTCCACTGACACGCTCATCTGTTTAGCCAAACATCCTCAACAACTTCTTTCAATTCCTCCCACTTCCTACAGACAAAAGGGGGTGGCTATGGGTACCCGCATGGGCCCAAACTATGCCTGCCTCTTTGTAGGTTACGTGGAACAATCCCTCTTCTGTAGCTACACTGGCCCTAAACCCCCCTCTTCCTCCATTACATTGATGACTGTATCGGCGCTGCCTGGTGTTCCCACAAGGAGCTCGAACAGTTCATCCACTTCAACATCTTCCACCCCAACCTTAAGTTCACCTGGACCATCTGATACCTCTCTCCCCATCTCTAGCAACCATCTGGAAACCGATATCCATTTCAAGCCCACCAACCCACCGACTCCCATAACTACCTAGAATACACCTCCTCCCACCCACCTTCCTGCAAAAAAAAAA